TGTATGTCCTTGTGTGGATCACAGGGGGACCAGAGGGCGGAGGCGTATTCTAGAAGTGGACGAACATCGGTTACAAATAATCTGCTTAGTAGAGATAAATCTCTGGATCTGAATGCTCTCAATATGAGTGATGTTCGGGTGTTGGCTTTTTTGACTAAGGTGGATATATGTTGGTGGAATTTCAAATTAGGATTAATTATAATTAATTATAAATTAGGATTAATTATAGATTAATTATATATTATATATATTTATATGCTTTCGACATTGCTCATGCAAATTTCAAGGCAGACTTTTATGCATGAATAATCATATCGAGGTGGTCCATTTTCAGCGCATGAACATTGCGTATTGCTAATAACCTAATGATGCAGAATTTAGCGGTCGCATTCCTAATTTGGTTTATTGTTTTGGCTCGATCAAATGATGCTGATGCATTAGTTCATCACACTTACTGTGTTGAACTCAGAATAAAGCGAGTTGGTGAGTTTAATGCAAGCTTTGATTGGTCATCGTTTGAGGGAACATAGGCACTTGATTGATTGCTAAATCATTGAATGCGTTCTTCTTTCTTATTTTATCGAAGCACTCGTTGAAACACGGATGAAATTGGATCGATTTATTGATCGATTCTCACTGAGCAAGTAACGAGCTCAATCGTTGTTGCACTTATCAATTGCCTCACTTGGTCACTGTTCGTTCTTCATTTGGACATCATTCACGCTGCTATCAGAACATCTGGTTACGTTAACATCTTATTATATCGTTTAACGAGTTCGTGATTAGCTTTCGGAATGAACTGATTGCATGCACTTCAAGAAATTACGCTTGTATTTTCTCATTCAAGATATCTGATTGCTTTTACTTCGTAGAAATTCATTATCTCAGCTTGCAAATCTGATTTTAAATTTCTCCTTCGACAGCTCAGTTGGATGTTTAGACTGGTCTGTGTCCTCTGGTCCACTGAAAGTTGAACGCAAGAACCTATGTTAATTGTAGAAGTCGGAGAATATGACAGAATTTGATTTTAAAATTTTTGAGTGCTATTATTG